AGCTTATATTTGCTCTGTGTATACCATGTATGACCCAGCTTGATCTGACCCTACTCTCTCCTTACTGTTGTTTTGGTATTTGATCCACAGGTGTGCGACTCAGCTTGTCTGGACTATGCTTCTGCTTAACCCTCTGGTGTTATCAGACTCGCTGTTAAAACTTGGCTGTCCTGACTTGCTCCTGCTATGCACCAGTAATATTTCTGTTCAACCTACATCCACAATTGGTGCACCACAAGTATCAGCAAGTCTGCTCTGTCTACAGTTCTGCTCATTGAATGTGGCATTTATTACTGAACTATCTGCATAACCAGCACATCTAAACTATTGCCCTGTTGCCTATACTCCTGGCCTGACATTATCAAGAGATGTATAATTAAAGGGGAAGGCAACCTAATGGATTCTACACAAGCTCAGATGTTCCACCCAACTCTGTAAAGTGCAATCTCCTCCTACTACCACCACTACTCCACCACATGAACCGAAGATTCCTTTGCGTCAATTTTCTGGTGATTGAAGGGGTTTCCACAATTTTAAGAACAGCTGCATAAATATATTTCAAAGCCATCCTTGTCTTGCTCTAAAAACAGAGGGTTCAGATCATAATCTCATTTTTGTAGGGGCTGCCCCTGAGGCAGTCATTCAGACAAAACTTGTATGAGTAGGTTGGGTTCCCATTATCATCATCATGCTTTGACACTTTTGAGATATGGGAGTGTGACTTGTGGCCGGAGTGGAAGATCATAGCATTTTAAGGAAGTCATGCGAACACATTTTTCCTGCCTATGTGAGTGTAACCTTTACATTTTAATAAAACGTTTTTAAGCAGTACTTAATTATTGTGAGCCTCTTTTTCTATGCATATGGGATTTCAATCTTGATGTATCCATCTGTGATCCAGATTCATACATTCTGGAGTGGCTTCTACAAAGTACTTTCAGACCTTCCATTAATTCTGGGGGTTAATTGTGATGTTGCTCTCCCATGGGATTAATCCCTGGGTGTTTTTGATTTCAACTTTAAAGTAGGTGCTCCTTTGCTACTGCATTGACTTTACATGTATATTATTTATGAGGTAGCTGCCGACTTATCTTTAACATTAGTTATTGTTATATATTAAGCTTATTATCTGGGCACAGCATAATACTTTTGTATTTATTTGATTCTATGCAAAAATGTGTATTGGAAAAATACTGTACCCCCAACCTTCTAATATCCAGAACAAGGAAAACCATTCAAATTTATGTACTTCAACCGTGTATTTCGCCATTTGTTTGAAGTTCAGCAGGGGAAATATACTGTTCTTTCACAGCCCTTTCACACTAGCTCACAGCCCAAAATGCTGCTACCTATACGCTAAACTGAAGCAGGCACCAGCATTTTGAGTTGCAGAGCTGTGCAGCAGGGGATGGTGTGATGCACGTTTCATCTTTAATCACTTTATGTGAAGAGCATAAAGTGTGAAGCACTGGACTGCTGTGCGGTGCCATGCGGGACCATGCAGAGTGGTGCGATAGCATGCAAACATGCTGCATAATATCACACAGCTCTGGAATGCACTGAAATAGTCTGAACGTGGCACAGAGCGAACTGTTTTCTGTGCGTCATTGTAGTTACCTGCGTTTATCCATGAGGAAAAATGCAGGTAGTGTGAACGGGCCCTGAGTGAGCACTTTGTGAACATTAATGTAAACACTGAAGTAATCCTTGTTAGGTCTCATGTACACTGGACATTTTTACAGCTGCTCCTAGGGGTGTCAGGTGTGGGTTTTGTGCCTCTAAACTACCTAGCATGTTGCCCAGTGTGCACATTAGGATTTTAGCAGCGTTTTGTGGCAGGAGAGTTTAGTGGCAAAAAAAAAAAAAAAAAAAAAAAAACCTAAAAAAAAAAAACAACCCACTGCCAGGGTGTGGGAGTTTTGGATGAAAAAATGCTTGAAACACGCCTAAACACATGTAAAGCACGCCAAAACGCTAGGCTTGATTAGCGCATGAGCATTAGTTTCATTGGCCAGAATAAATAATTTATTCAGGCTATTGAAATAAATGAATGCCCAAACGCTTGACGTGGGTAAATGTGCTACACATTTTTACAAGTGTCAGGTTTTTTTTTTGGCCAAAATGCTTCTGGCTTCTAGGGGAGTTAAAATTAAACATCAATTTGCAAGAGAACATTAAAAGGTTTCACTTTCTTTTTTGTTCTTTTAGTATGTACAGATTTGTAGACAAGTCAGTAAAAGGACTCATGCTGTAACAGTTAAAAGCAGAACCTGCATATGTATTGAGCAGACAAACTAGATTAAAAAAAAACAAAAAACACAACACCACTACATTCACAGATGGAAAATATTCATTTTTTTTTTTTTTGCTATTCAGCACTGAACTACTGTCAATTGCTTGGTAATGCAACATTGTACCCAAATTACATTTATATCATTTTTTCATACAAGTAGTTTTTTTTTGGTGGTATTTAACCACTTCATGTCCAGACACTTTCATCCCCTTCCAGTCAAGGCCAATTTTCAGCTTTCAGTGCTGTCACACAATTACTCAATCATGCAACACTGTACCCATATGAAGTTTTCATCATTTTTTTGAGACAGATAGAGCATTCTTTTGGTGGTAATGGTGTGACCCTCCTGCGCTCCAAAATGTGTGTTAAAACAAATAATAAATGAACCCCAAACAGCTGCTAACATTAAATCATATACCAATGATCAAGTGAATATAAACCATAAAAATGCTGCGCTACATTCAAACTAATTAAAGTGAATGTGGAATTCAATATCTCAAATAAATAGCAATAATGATAAATATAATAAGAAATGTGCTTAGTGATAACACAAAAATGATGGCAAAACACAAACTTAAATCAATACGCATGTGCAAGAAAATGCACATACATATATTACATCACACGTGCTTGTGAAGTGAAGTTACATCTAAATAATACACACAAAAACAAAGTCCAATAATGGAATATTAAAGGTGAAAAAAAGTCCAATAATGGAATATTAAAGGTGAAAAAAAAAATTTTTTGTTTTGGTAAACTGTGTTTCCAATAGGCTGTAAAGTGACCACAGGTGAAACAAAAACGTGCAGGTATCTGGGTGTAGATAGCTTGTGAATCCAACCACCTTCTGGATTAGCCTCTCACCTCATCTCTTCGACCCTTGCGGGTCAAAGAGCAGTATGGATCCCTCTCACAGATCCTCCAGGCACCAAAGCACTCCAAAACCACTTCTCAGGATATATAGAGCCCTGATGAAGTCACGTGATATTGTGACGTAACGCGTCGGCGTAGCGCGGTGACGTATTTCCGGCGTGGCGGCCATCTTGGTACACCTGTGGACTCAGCTGTACACCCAACTTACATACACATATCCTCATTTGAGAGCATGAGGGTTTAATGTGGACTGGCTGCTACGTAAGTGTATTTTCATTAAAGATTTGATGTTCCTATGGTATAATAAACATACTACACTATGGGAGGATCCCTTTGTTTTGTTCTGGGAAAGTGATATTTCATCTATACCTGGAGAAGAGCTGAGTGGGAATATTATATCCTGAGAAGTGGTTTTGGAGTGCTTTGGTGCCTGGAGGATCTGTGAGAGGGATCCATACTGCTCTTTGACCCGCAAGGGTCGAAGAGATGAGGTGAGAGGCTAATCGAAGGTGGTTGGATTCACAAGCTATCTACACCCAGATACCTGCACGTTTTTGTTTCACCTGTGGTCACTTTACAGCCTATTGGAAACACAGTTTACCAAAACAAAAAATTTTTTTTTTTTCACCTTTAATATTCCATTATTGGACTTTTTTTCACCTTTAATATTCCATTATTGGACTTTGTTTTTTGTGTGTATTATTTAGATGTAACTTCACTTCACATTTTTGCACGTGTGATGTAATATATGTATGTGCATTTTCTTGCACATGCGTATTGATTTAAGTTTGTGTTTTGCCATCATTTTTGTGTTATCACTAAGCACATTTCTTATTATATTTATCATTATTGCTATTTATTTGAGATATTGAATTCCACATTCACTTTAATTAGTTTGAATGTAGCGCAGCATTTTTATGGTTTATATTCTTTTGGTGGTATTTAATCACCCCTGAGTTTTTTATTTTTTGCTGTATAAATGAAAAACGTTTGTTAAAAAATTTTGCAGATAATCTTTCTTCCTAAATTTAGCTCAAATGTATTATGCTACTTCTTTTGTTTTTGAGTAAAAACAACCCAAAACAGTGATTATTTAGTCTGTGTGCAAGTTATAGAGTCTACAAACGATAGGATATATCTGAATATTGATCAGTTGAGACCCGACCCTAAAATGCAGGACACTGATATGAGGTTTGGCAGTGATCAGGATGTTGTGTGTGGGGTATGACGGTGATCAGGACGCTGGTGTGGGGCATGGGCGGACAGGAAGCAGTTAATAATCATTGGGGTTTTTAACTTTTTGCTATATAAATAAAAAAAAAAATACAAAAATTTAGAAAAAAAAAAAAAACCCACACACGATTTTCTTATAAAATTTTGCAACAAACCTTTCTTCATAAATTGAGGTCAACATCTAGTCTATGCTACATTAAAATAACTCAAATCAGTGTATATTATTTAGCCTCTGTGAAAGTTATAGAGTCTACAAACTATGGTGTATATATTTAAAAACTGATCAATCCTGATGTACTGACTGCAGATCTAATTTCTTGAGGATCTACAATGCCAGGACAGTACAAACACCCCAAATGACCCCTTTTTGGTAAGTAGACAGTCCAGGGCATACCCTGGGAGGCTAGTGGCCTCGGTCTGAGGCCGGACTGGAGAATGAATGCAGGATTAATGTCAATGGCGACATTGTTTATGACTTACTACATATTTGCTTTACATGCTTTAAATAAATTCTCAAGGTAATGTTTTAGTGAAGTCCAGCCAGCCAATGTTTTCCAAGCTGTGCCACAGTATAAAAGTGTCAACTTAAGACCCCACTTACTTGTTGAAAAGGTGGTTATCCACTTTGATCTTGCTGTAGGCTTTAAAGTCATCTGGCATCAGCATAACAGGAACTGGAACATTACTCAACTCATTGATCTGAAAGCCAGAAGATGAAAGCATTTAACACCACAGATAGCAGTAATTAAATTAAATGGATTAATTACATGATCTATCTATACATCAGCAAAACCTCTAAACGGCTTCTTAGTCGAAAGTTAGTTTAAATCTATAATGAAAACATCTACATTCCTCGATTATAAATTATATGTGCTGCATAACTGCTTGAGGTTGACCTTTATGCAGTCAGGAGTGGACTCAACAAACTCTGGGCACCACATGTCTATCCAGAATATTGGCAAACAAGAGCATGGCACCCACTAGTGTCAGCTTATTGTTGTAACACTTCCTGTAGGTTCACAGCATGGATATTTTAGGCAGCATTTGAGTATACAGGTGTTTACACCTGTCCACATTCCCCTGCAGCGGCTTGCAATCTAAGTCCATGCAACACTCACACAGAGGAGCCAATTTGGGTGGAAAAACATTACTCTGCCAATAATTTTTCTCCAAAAGTTTATTGGGGAACACAGCAGCCCACTGTGACCCTTGTTGATGGGCAACAACTAGGCCAAACTAAAAGGATGCCACGCATTCCTTACAAAGAACCTGGGGCAGTACAGTGGCTAAATGGTTGGCACTTCCGCCTGGCAGTACTAGGGTCAATGGTTCAAATACCAACCACGACACCACCAGCCTGGAGTTTGCATGTTCTCCCTTTGCCTGCGTGTTTTTCCTATGGGAACTACGGTTTTTCCTCCCACACTCCAAAGACATGCCGGTAGGTTAACTGGATCCAGTCTAAATTGGCCCTAGTATGTGTATGTATGAATTCAAGTTAGGGACCTTAGATTGCCCTTGAGTGTTAGGGACTGATGCGCAATATATATGTAAAGCACTGCATAAATTGACGGCGCTATATAAAGCACCAATAATAAATAAATTAGGGATGCACCGAAATTTCGGTGACCGAAACTTTTTGGCCGAAAACACCTCTATTGGCCTTTGGCCAATATGAAAATAAGCACCAATACAGGTGCCGAAAATAAATTTTCCTGGGACCAATATGGGGGGGGGGGGGGGGGGGGAAAAATCCATCAGAAAAACCCCTTGCCTCAAGGTGTGAGTGTAATGATGTGCTTAACCAATTCAATACCGGGCATTTTACCCCCTTCCTGTCCAGGCCATTTTTCAGGTTTTAGCGCTCTCACAGTTTGAATGACAATAGCGCTGTCATACAACATTGTACCCAAACTAAAATTTTATAATTTTCTTCACACAACTAGAGCTTTCTTTTGGTGGTATTTATCACCGCCGGGGTTTATATTTTTTGCTAAATTAACAAAAAAAGGACTGAAAATTAAAAAAAAAAAAAAAAAAAAAAAAACACGATTTTCATTGTTTCTGTTATAAAAGTTTGCAAATAAATTGTTCTTCAGAAATTTAGGCCAAGATGTATTCTACTACATGTCTTTGGTGAAAATAACCCAAATTAGGATGTATTTTTTAGTTTGTAGGAAAGTTATAGAGTTCACAAACTATGGTATAGATCTGAATATTGATCAATCCTGAAGTACTGACAGCCAATCTAATTTCTTGAGGTCCAAGAATGTCAGAATAGTACAGATATCCCCCAAATGACCCCTTTTTGCAAAGTAGAATAGAATAGAATTACTTTGCTATAAGCAAGCATTTACCTGAATGACATCGATTCATTCAGGGTTTTTTTTTTTTTGTGCTTAGCTGTGATTTGGCCACAGCTAATCACATGACATGTGCATGTGATTAGCTATGACCATTCACAGCTAGACCCTAGTATACAATAGATGGCATGAATGAAGCCATCCATTGTATACAACTGTCATGTGACCTGCTGTGATTGGTCACAGCAGGTCACATGGTATCGGCAACGGGGCTGATACTCGGATCGGTCGTGTCCAAAATACACAGGCAGTGACAGATCGCGCCCCTTCGTGGCACTGCAAGCACGCGAACTGCGCATGTACGCCATATGGTGGCCTCCTGGAAAGCTAGTGCATTTTTCCGGACGCCATACGGCTATTGGATGGGCGTCAAATGTTTAAAGCAAAGTTCCAGCTGAAAAAATAAATAAAAAAGTCAGTAGCTACAAAAACTCTAGCTGCAGACTTTTAAAATATGGACACTTACCTATCTCTCGGCCCAGCGGTGTCCTCCCCACGGCTGGTTTTAGGGGCCGTATTCTCTCCTCGGCATCTTCAGTGTGGGCACCTGGCTGTGACAGCTTGCGACTTCACAGTCGGGTGCCCAATGCGCAGGTGCGAGAAGCGCTGCACTTTGTGAATGACCTCGTAGAAGTGGGAGTGGATACCTGTTATATATGGGTACCCGCTCCCCAAAGGTGCCAATCCTTAATGGGGAGCAGGGGACAAAAAGCTTAAAGTGGAACGTCCTTTTTTGGGTGGAGCTCTGCTTTATGTAACTGCTTCAAACCAAAGCCATCACCAGACCTAGGACCTGCATGCAGATACAAACTGGTGCCCTTCTGCAGCAGCATGGCATGACTGAGACTGAGACTGAAGCTAGACTGGTGTCCACAGCAAAAGGAAATTTTTCCAGCAGGAGCACTCAGCTCTCAAGAGTAAATCATCAACATGAAGCTTTGACCACTACTGAGATCCACTAAAGAGTTTCAAGTTGGCAGGGCCAAGACTGGAGCCAGTACCTTGATGAACACCTGCAGGACATGATGCTATCATCTTGATGAAAAATCATCATCAAAATCATCACATCATCCCTCACCTACTGCAAATCAGAGGCACTTTTTCTGCAAATTGACACACGTTTTATATATCCCTGGATACTGATCAAAACAAGAATATCCCTTGATAAGATGGCTACCCCTGATAAGATGGACTCCATTTTGAATAGAGGACTAGGATAGGACAAAATCCTTCCTGGGAACTAAACGTGAAGATGAAGCGAGCACTTTGAAATCCTATAAAAAAAGCTGCTAGCATGAGGAAACCTCTAAAACCCTTGAACATGTAAATATATAAAAATGCAGCGCTTAGATAAATTGATAAAAAGAATAAAATGCAAATATAAGTGAATGTGACAGAAGGCGCAAATTGATGCGCCAATGTGTGACCGTGATGTCTTAATGAAGACAAAAATAAATATATATTGTCGTGACAATACAATATATCACACAGATAAAATGACATGAGTCCATCAAATGCGTCAGTGATTTAAAATAGGAACTTGGCGATCAATCCTATTCAGTTTCCATCAGATAATCAGGTGCTCGTGACTTCCGTGAAAGATAATAAAGGGTGTGCTTGCACTCACTGGACGTATATAATATATACGCATGAAGTGTATAGGTACTGGTGACCATCTGGGACCCGATGAATAGGTGGTATTCAAACGACACTCATACCATCCAGGGATATTCTCCAGATCTCTTATTGGACACTCCCAGGCAATGGGAACCGCTCACAGGTGTGGCTGATACTCAGCATCAGATATATGTACCATCCAGCAGGAATCCACCTTGTCAGCCTCAGACAGAGCCACCAGAACAAAAGGCTCATATAGTGTAGTAGTTTGAAATATTGACACATTGGCGCATCAATTTGCGCCTTCTATCACATTCACTTATATTTGTATTTTTTTATTCTTTTTATCAATTTATCTAAGCGCTGCATTTTTATATATTTACTTCCTGGGAACTGTGAAATGATTTGATTAGAATCCCCTGAATTTTTCAGAGGGTGGAACCGGAACAAAACACAGTTTGCTGCAATAGTTCTGAGATTACTCAATGCGAGTCCTGCAGCTGGGGAGGAGAATAGACAAAGATAGGATGTGACACAGCAATCTGAGGTAAGAGGGACTAAAATGTTATTTTTTAAAGTCAAAGCTAGAAACTCAGTCAGTTGTCAAAAATATGAGGCAGCCAGGGACCTGCAAAATCCAGAAGATATCCCTCCCCACCCTAGTAAGTATAGGTGGGGTCAATCTTTCATCCAGAGAAGGACATCTTTGTTGGCTTGGCAGATTTCGACTGCCAAGCGCACTATGACCCGAAAGAGACAGAGGGCCTAGCTGGCTTGCCTCCTGTGTGTCAGAAAAGGCTTAAGCACGAATGGAGTTTATGACTAAAAAGAGATCAGTAATGGTTTCGTAGCTTTTTATAGACCTATGGTCTCACCTCCAGTAAGGTAATTCATATTCTCTTCCAACGTTGCGCCATCAAATCATCACAGTGGACAGTGACTAAGGACTTCTTTTCCTGCTGTCACCAAGTTGCAGCATCAGGATACCAGCAGGCAGCATATACAGTGCATTCATAAAGTATTCACCCATTCATGTTTTTCAATTTTATGTTGAAGCCTGATACCCCAGCTGGTTGAATTCATATTTTTTGCTCATTAAATCTACACTCCGCACCCCATAATGACAACGTGAAAACAGAATTTTAGAAATGTTTGCAATTGTCAATATCACATTGGTATTCAGACCCTTTCCAACAACACTTGAATTTTAGCTCAGCTGCCTCCCGTTTCTGTTTCCAAACTGAGGCCTTGCAAAAAACTGACAGCCACAGGCAAGACTTCCAGAGGCATAGGCATGATGGGACTTGTAGCACTTCAAAAGCTGGAGGGCCATAGTTTGGAGACCCCTGCTCTAGATCATTGCTGAGATGTTTCTACACCTTGGAGTCCACCTGTGGTATATTAACTTGATTGGACATAAATTTGGAAAGGCACACACCTCTCTATAAAAAGGCCACAAAGACTACTGCAGGATCAGAAACATGTTACATGTTCCACCCTAAAAACGGGTGGAACATGTAACATGTTCCCAAAGGTGAATGTATCCTTTAATAAGAAAAAAAAATGAATTTAACCACTTCAATACCGGGCACTTATACCCCTTCCTGCCCAGGCCAATTTTCAGCTTTCAGCGCTGTCGCACTTTGAATGACAATTGCGCGGTTATGCAACACTGTACCCATATGAAATTTTTAGCATTTTTCTTTTACACAAATAGAT